CCATATGGAGCAGATAAAATAATTTGTCCTGGGTCCTAAAAGTGCAGTGCCTATGAATTGTCACCCTCTAGACCAAAGTGACAGACATTTTAGGACATGAATGAACACTCATGTTCAGTACCACCCAAGCTTTTACTAATCCCAGTAGAGATCTGCAAGTTGATTGACTTACAGGTGTCACACTGAAGCTATTCAAGAACATCCTCTATGCCAACTCTTGAGTTACTATTTATATATTAATAGATACTGAAGGCATGAATTACTACAATGAAGTATATGTGATTCTTTTACATGTTACTTCACGGATGAAAAAATGAGTGATCTCTAAATTTTCTAGGCACATTCAGTGGGGCATCTGAGGGCCAAGTGGAGACACAGCAGTAATGTAACACTCTGCGAAGTTGATCTCCTCATATGGTAAGATCCTGGCTTCATGTTCTGGAGACCTCTTTGAACATGCTTGATACATGTGTGCCTAGGGTTGTCTAAACCTAGGGGTGAACTGCAGCCTGGGGACCCTGCTGGGCAATTCTGTCTCACTGTCTCTCTTGCTCATGAACAAATAAAATAAATCTAGCTTAAAATTTTGTTTAAAAATAAATTATTAAGGCATTTATGAGTGAGATGGGACAAAGGAAAGCTAGTATCTTTGTATGCTAGGGAAAGCCAGCAGGTGACAACTAGTCCCCAAAACTACATGAGTATGGAACTGGGTCCTCCAAGGCAGTAATGTCAACAGGCTCAAACAGCAAATGGCTGTCTTCTACATCCTCCACTGCATGTCTTTCGCTAGAGAGAGATCACCCTCCTAGAATAGGTTGTCTCACAGAGATTATAAAGGATGAGGAACAAAATCCAACTTATATATTTAACACTATACAAAATACTATACAATATACTGAAAATGAATAGAAAAGCCAGAGTGAGCGTGATCATGGGAGGGTTACGTGAGGAACATTTACCTGCATTCAGTGTGTTTCCTTATATTTGTTGTGGGTATATGGGCACACATCACATAATTTTTTTTTTTCAAATTTGCTACAAGGTTCATGTACTTGCTGGAGAGAGATAGAGAGGAGGAAAGTGAGAAGTCATTCCCCAGGGGGGATGACCATACAGCAAACCCTGCTCTATTCTCCTCTCAGGATGTTGCACAGGTACACATACATGCCTTACATGTTTCCAAGTCACCAGGTCTAGGACTTAAACCCATAGTTGGCCATGTAAGATACAGCTGCCTCAACCTCCATGCTACCTGCTGGGCCCACATCATATAACTTAAAAGGTATTTTTTCTATAAATTTTAAATGCTGTGTAATAATTAAGAATTAAATCAGTTAGACCTTAGATGCCCTCTCTTGTGCTGCTGGCAGAATACCTCTTCTCAGTTCTGGCAGAAGAAGGGACATTTACCTTCTACATAGGGTGATCTGCAGAGAATGCAGACTGGATGACATAGAGCATAGTTAGAGGCAAAGCTCCCATGAAGAACACTGGGGAGTTACTTGAAACAACCTACAAACCCAGTATTACAAACTGCTACTTCCCTATCTCCCTTTCTAAGTTGGGCTCCAAAGACCGGAAGATGTGCCATTACTCTTGGGCTAAGAGCTTCTCTCAGGGATCTGAGCAGACCAAGAGAAAAGATCTGTTAATACTGTCAGCTGGGTCTTCCCTGGTGAAATGACATACCCAGATTTATCGGATTTACAACAGTAAGTCCCACAGGTAGCAAGCCATAATCACATGCATGGAGATGTGTGTTAGACCTGTTAAATGTGAGCACTCAGGGATCGCGAGACACCTTTAACATGAAGCATATCTGAAATATTTTAAAAGCAACTGAGAAGAAAGACGGTGGATAGAGGAAAACAATAAACGGTATGGAACAAGCCAGCTCAGAGAGACAGGCAAAGAACACATGTATAAAGCATGAATAGGATGCGATAAGGAAAAAAAAAACACTAGGAACACACAAAAAATCAGAAATTCAAAATATCGCAGTAACAGAAAGCTCTGCAAGATAAATTTTAAAAAATATTTCAGAAAACAAAATTAAAAGGCAAAGAAATGGACAACAGATAAAAGAGGGGAGGAATAAAATTGAAATAACAGGCATGACTGAAGAAATAACAGGGAAGACAAATAATTTGATACTTGTTTTTAGAGCTCAAAAGCAAAAGTCTCCAGATAAAAGATCTTCCCCCTAACTCAGCATCCAGCAAAATGGGTTAAAATTACTCAGTTAAGCCACAATATTATGGCATTTCAGAACACTGGTTACAAACAGAGCATTTTATAACATTTTTAAGGGTGTGGGGTATAGAATCAGAATGAGGCTGGATTTCCTAATCTAACACTGAAAACTAGAGAACAATGAGTCCATGTTTTCCAAATTTGAAGGGAAAACAATTTTGAATTCAAAATTTTAAATCTATCCAAACTCCTAAGCTAATGTTAGGTTGAAACAAAACATTAAATTAAAAAAAAAAAAGTCTATTTTTGTTCATGGTGAGAGATAAGGGTCCAGGAATGTACATTAGTACAACCACTACAGAGGACAAGATAGAAGTTCCTTAGAAACCTACAGTAGATACAGTAGAATTACCACATGACCCAGTAATTCCTCTCTTAGGTAATTTGCTTATTTCTTCAGTAACTCCTACCCAGAGGATAGGAAAACCCTCAGTCCGAAAAACACTTGCAGACCCATATTTATTGCATCATTATTTACAATTGCTAAGACATGGGATCAACCCAAATGTCCAAGGACAGATGAGTGCATTAAAAAAATGTAGCATATGTACTATATGGAATACTACTCAGCCATAAAAAATGAGATGCTGACATTAGATAGAAAGTGGATTGGGACCAGCAGTTGGAGTAATGGCTATGTCGCTGAACTCCCATGTAGTCGACCATAGTTTGAGTCCTGACCTGGTGGCTTAAACTCATGCTGGGCACCTGTGCATGTGTGCCCAAGATCCTAAGAGGATAATGAAGGAGAAAGGATTACATACAGCCTGGCCATGCCCTCCTGGGGGTGTGATTTCTCGTTTTCTGTCTCTCTGTCTTTCTGGCAAGTACATGTGCCCTATAGCAAAAAACCTTCTCCTCCCCCCCCAAAACAAAAACAAAAACAAAAACAAAGTGTATTAACATGGAAGATTCGATGCTAAGAGAAGCAAGTCAGACTATGAAAGACAAGCATTAAATGTCCCCACTTACTATATACTGAATGTATGCACTTTATAGCAGAAACTGAAAGATTGGAAGGTATAATAGGGAGGACAACTGTAGATTTTAGAGACAGTATTGGAGGGGGTAAGTAACAGGGAGTGGGTAACGGGGGTGAAAGGGAGGGGAACAGGGAAACAAAGAACACATTTAATAGATACAAAAATGAAAAGTCATCTGCTGATGATAATGTATATGATAATGTCTTTGACTAGACTAATATGCACTACACTGATGCTAGGAAAAACCTATATTGCCCACTGTAAAGATACACAGTGATTACATGTAAATTAAAAGATAAAATAAAAAAAAATAGCGGCAAAGAGAGAAAACCTATTTAGTTACGGGAGCACTGCCAAGTCTATGAATTGTAACTTGCGGGGTTGCATTGGGAGCCTTAGAGGACCTGGGTAACACAAAGAAAAGATACAGGTCCCTGTACAAAATGTGCTACTCTCAGCAGTTTGGAAAAATAAGGACAAAATCAGCTTATGTGAAAGAAATGACTGTCCAAGGTTATTTTGTCTCACTTAAGGAAGGTTTTTGTGTTTTTTTTTTTGTTTTCTTGTTTGTTTTTAACATTAACAAATTTGAATGATAATTTAAAAAAATTTAGACATACAAAGTTTAAAAAATATTACTTCTTTCACCTTGATTCTTGGGAATCTACTAGAGGAAATACTCCACCAAAATAAAGAATAAATTTAAAATGTAACAAACATTTTAAACTCTTGGATAAATATTCAGTGTTTACACGACTATATCAACATCATTCATAACTGAGCTATGTAGTATATACTACAACTAGATTTCCATTCTTACGGTGTTATCATTTTATTATTTGTTAAAGAAAGATCACACATGCATGCATTACACCCAAAACAATGGTTGAGGGAGCACTTTAGATGACAGCTAAAGAGTAGACCCAGAAAACACCCAAGCAACAGAGTTTAGAAAGATACGTTTTCAAGAGGGTAAAATGAACCGACAGTTACATGATGGAAGAGAGCTGGGAGTTAAAACGAGACAAGAAATCAACAATAGACCAGCCCTGTGGCCCAGTAGTTAAGAGAGTTGGATCTCACATGGCAACTGATTGGCTCAGATCCTGGCACCTGTGATTTGAAAAACACACTAGGTGAGTTGTGTGTGTGTGCCAAAAATCCCAACAGGATGGGAAAATGGAGAGGGAACTGTGGCATGACCACACCCCGTTGAAAGATGCTTTTTTTTTCCTCTCCCTTTCTGTCTCTTTGTTTCTCCTGGGTGAGTACACACATCCTCTGGCAAATATAAAAAAAGAAAAATATAATCAACAAAATGATAACACCATAAGAATGGAAATCTAGTCGTAGTACATACTACATGGCTCAGTTATGAATGATGTTTATATAGTCATGTAAACAGTGAAAATTTATCCAAGAGTTATGATTTATGTACACTGGCTCAATGGTAGAAGATAATTATGGGTGGAGTTAAGATGGGTGGAGGATAATAAAAACTTCAAAACAAATTTTTCATGATGAAAATTAATAGCTAATTGCATAAATCTAAAAAAATCAAGAAGCAGCAACTTAAACATGCTGTTGAGTGACTTGGAGATAAATACCAAGGGAAACAACAGGAGAGTTATAAATCGGGCAGGCAAGAGACTGTTATTTTCTCATGATAGTTGAACTATTTGATAGGTAAAGTATCTTAATATATATAACTTTGATGGAAGTTAAAAATAATAAAATACCATAAGTGTCACAAAAAGTGTTATAGCCCTTCTTGACTTAAAGCTGATACAATATTTATTAATGCAAAATGAGGCATTGCCTAGACCCCTTAATATCTTTGTTTCAAATATGATTGACTGACAAAACACTTTAGAATGTTTACTTAGAGAATTAAGGAAAAAAAAACAAACCCAGATTGCTTGATGTCTTTGCATGACTGATCAGAAAAAACCCTTTGAATAGTTTTTAATATCTACATGCAAGTATCTCTAATTTTTGTGATTTTTAAAAATAACCTATGACAGGGACCAGCAGATGGCATAGTGGATAAGGCGCTGAACGCTCCCACATGACCAACAATGGTTCGAGTCCTGGACCTGGTGGCTTCCTTTCTCACCCTCTGTTTCTCTTTCTCTGTTTCTCTCTGGTCAAATTAAAATGAATGACTGAATGAATAAAATAAAATAAATAATTATTTTAAAAAATAGTCTATGATGATTAGACAATGTCATACTATAGTAAAGCTGAAACAAAGACCTACATCTGTTTTCTGCATTTCACAATTGACTTTTCAAGTATTTCATGTAACGTTTTTCACTGCCCTTCATTGGTTTGGTTGTTAATATTTTGAATTTCTTAAATATTTGTTCTTAATGATGCAATTATTCCTAATGATCTTAAAAATTAATTCTTCATGGTGTCACGTTTGTAATTTCACGTTGCTGATTTTACTCTCAAGTTCAACATTATGCAGAACTATTTTTGTACAAATTGTTTAAAAGTTATTTATGCAAGGTTTGAATGCATACCAGTATTTTATTGTTTTGAGATTGCCAATTTTCCCGACTTCCTTAGGAGCAAACTTACCCTTCATTGTCACAAACAACCCATCTACAAATGTGCCCAGATCTGACAAAGTAGGCGAAGACCTTCCTCTTAAAAGCATGTTTAACTGGAAGTTGAGCGCCTGCTTTTTATGTCAAGAAGTTACTTGAGCATGTTGTGGATATATGTAAATTATAGTCCAAGTAAGAAACTTTGCCAAGTTTTCTCTATATAGAATTCATCTTTTTCTTAAAAGTTTAAAATTCAGGCTTCAGCCTTTGCACTCAGGAGGGTTTGGCTCCAGCATGAGCTCTGGTACTCTACATAGGTCTAATTTATTCAGTGAGTCAAGAAGTAGAATAAATGCTCCCACATAGCCTTTCTTTTCCTTTTCTCTCTGAGGTGTGAGTTGAGTTCTCATTTAGGTTTGTAACATGCTCTTTCCTAGTTGTAAAGTTCTGCATTCATAAGTGCCATTGTTATAAGGTGGTGTTTCTTAGACTTTCCCTGATGCGGTTTTACCTTTATTGAATTTGTATAAACAATTGTACCAAAAAAAAAAAAAAAGTGGTTGACAATCATCTTGGACAACTCCAGAATCAATGTATGAATGGTGTATCTGTTTCAAGGCAAAGATACAGAAGCCATAGACATACAGATGTGAAGGCCAGGAGAACTGAAAACCCTACTAATACAATTTATTCATTTGCTGAACACTGACTGACTATATCTCATGAGCTGGACACTGTTCTAGGTCCTTAAATTATAGTGAGAGTAGATAAATAAATATTTATTTAATAGGCAAAAATGATATAAAGGAAAATGAAACAAGGTAAGAGAATGGAGTCAAAAGTGAGATGTTATTGTATATTTTACTACCTGCTTAGATGCAAGAATAAGTTTAATTCCCCCAAATTAGTAAGAGTTGAAATCCACTAGAATTCAAGACAGTGAAACAACTCTTGTAGGAAAGGTGCTGTATAATGTGCAGGAATGTATTTGTAGAATAAGAATACAGAAGTCAACAGTCACTTCAACTGAGATCACAGAGACCGAAATGCTATTTAGTGATGTGGAATAGCTGAAATGTCTTACTAGCAGAAAATCCCCTTGTAACATGAAATCCAATAATGATCACTTTTATGGCTGAAATGAATGAATATGAATTGTATAGAAACAGAGCCACTCCTTACTTACCAACCTTCCAGTGTAAGGATGGCTTGTACTTAGTGACCAGTTCTCCAGCATAGGGAATCCTCTCTCTCAGTCTCTCTGAGTCTCAGGAATCCCTTCTCTCAGTTTTGTCCTCGTTCCTGTAGTTGGTTAGTATTCACTACATGCACACATTCACAATCACACAAAACTATGTATTTGTTTTATAAATTTGCAACTTATTGTTCACCCATAGTAGTATTCTAAATAAATATATAAAAGTGACTATACCAGAGTTATATTATCGTGTTGTGGTGTGTCTTACTGCTTTTTGGTGCTTATCTAACATGCCTTTTGTAAGGATAAAATCACATTATTCTAGTGTGGTTTCACTGATATCTACTGAAAAATAGATATCTTGTGGAATCACGACACAAGACATCCCCTTTTAACCTCCTCTCTTACCAACCAGTTTGCGTAATGACCTGGACACTGCAACAGAACATTAAGTGACAAGTGCCGGTAAACACTTTAAAAAAACCACTTTCTTGGGACCAGCAGATGGTGCAATGGTTCTGTCACCAGACTCCCACATGGCTGACCACAGTTCAAATCCTGGACCCAGAGGTTTTAAACTCAGCTGGGCATGTGTACATTTGTGACTAAAATTCTGAGAAAAGGACAGAGGAGAAGGGAGCATGGCCATCCCCTTCAGGGGTGATTTATTGCTTTCTGCCTCTCTGGTGAGCACATGCACCTTATAGCAAAAAATCTCTCTTAAAAATATAAATAAAATAGGGACCAGCTGATGGCATAATGGTTACATCGCTGGACTCTCGTGTAGTCTACCAAGGTTCAGGTCCTGGACTCAATGGCTTAAAACTCATGCCAGGTGGGTGTGCATGTGCATGAGCACACAAATACTGAGAGGACAATGGAAGAGAAGTGATGGCAACATGGCCATCCCCGCTGGGCGGGTGGTGATTTCTTGATTTCTGTCTCTCTCTGTCTTTCTGGCAAGGACACATGCCCTATAGCAGAAAAAAAAAAATTCCAAAAAACAAACAAACAAAAAAACTCGCAGAAATAAAAAACAAATAAATAAAATGACATTCTTTTAAAAAATGATTATTAATTTTAAATACTTATTTATTTATTTATTATTTGCTATATGGCACATGTGCTCACTAGAAAGAGACAGACAGAGAAAGAGAGAAAGAAGGAAAGTGAGAAAGCAAGCCATCAGGTCCAGAACTCAAACCATGGTCAGACGTGTGGGAGTCCGGTGCTTCAACCACCATGCCACCTGCTGGTCCCCAAACTACTTTCTTTTGGAACTCTTTTTTTTTTCTTTGGAGAGTTTTTTTTTTGCTATAGGGCGCATGTGCTCACCAGACAGACAGAAAGAGACAGAAAGACAGAAAATGAGAAATCACCCTCCAGGGGGAGTGGCCACACCACAATCCCTTCTCCTCCATTCTCCTCTCGGGATTTCGGGCACGCATGCACACGCGCCCAGTGTTGAGTTTAAGCCACCGGATCTGGGACTCGAACCACAGTCGACTTCATGGGAGTCCAGCGACATAGCCATTACACTAACTGCTGGTCCCTGGAACTCTTTTTAAAAGTAACTTTGTAGGAAAATAAATGTAAGAGAAAATTATGAAGCTACTACATGGTACATTTCCAAAGTACATGTGGAGAGATCATGCTAGACCTACAATTTTTGGAAGCTTTCTAGTGACGTTTCCTGGATCTTCACCCACGCTCAGACACCTGCTTTCTGTCAGGAGTACTGTCTCCTGGCAGAGAGCCTGGACTTTGGGGACCTTGAGTTATAGTCATAGTTGCTGTCAGTAGGAGGTCAGGCACATAGATGACATGGATATCATCATTGAACTCATCTTCTCTGACTGAGACTGTCAAAAGCAAAAATTATCCCGCATAAGATTCTGCAAATCTAGTGTTGAGAGGGAGTATCTTTCAAAAGCTACCTGATCAAAGTGACCAGAATGTGTAAGTCAATATTAAAAGTCACCAGCTCTACTTTATACTCAACAAGGCTCTATTGTTTGCAAATAGCATTTATTTTCTGAGCTTCCTAAAACCTCATAAATGATCTTTGCAAGACTACGCATTAATGTTCAAAGGACTTATTGACTGAGAGTTGTTGCATGAAAAACAAAAACAAAAGCGGAGTCCCAGCTGTGGCTTAGTAGTTAAGATCGCTAGATCACAGTTCAAGTTCTAAGTAGGTTGAGAAACAAGCGGGGTGTGTGTACATGCAGGCCACAAATGCTGACAGGATGGAGTGAAATGGAGAGGATTGAGGCATGACCATTCCCCATGGTGGTGCTTTCTGCTTTATCTGTTTCTCTCTCTCCCTCTCTCTCTCTTTCTCTGTCTTTCTGCCAAGTGCATGTGGCTTCTGGCAAAATTTTTTTTAAAAAAAGGAAAAAAATAAGAGGGAAACAAATTAGAGTATTACTAGATATAACAAGATGAACTTAGGGAAAAGTGGCTAGAAGTAATGAACTCAAAGTAAGAAAAAGATAATCTTCACAGGAAGTGAGACAGAAATTTGTTTCTAATCACAATCAGTTTTGGGCCAGCCCCATAGCCTGGTGGTTAAGAAAGCCAGATTTCACATGGTTGACCCGGCAGTTTGAATCTCAGCCCTGGTGACTTGAAATACTCAGCAGGAGAGAGAGAGAGAGAGAGAGAGAGAGAGAGAGAGGGAGAGAGAGGGAGAGAGAATGTGTGTATTTATAGTATAAATAAGGAATCTTTTAAATTTTGCTGGTATCCACCAATTGAAATTAGTGCATTTAATAGTGAAAGAGTTTCCAAACAAGACCCTCAGCAATTCTTTGCCTGAGCCCCAACTAGATGGAAGTTTTGGAGTAACTCTTGGTTAAACAGCAACCAGTAATAATGACTATAATGAATTCTTTCCAGGTCTTACAGAAGGATATTTTAGTATTTTATCCTTATTCAAAATATGCCCCTATCTAAAACTGACTCCGAAATGAAGGCCTATGGTAGCTGGTTGCCATTTCTTTCTAGTTCCTAAAATGCTGTAGTGCTTGGTTCGAAAGCACAACATTTGAGTATGCACTGCTGTGTATACATGTCCTTGTCTTTAACGAGACGGAGTGGTCCTCCGTACTGATAACTGTCTTTTGAACTCTGTCTGTCTTGATGGGAAAACAGAGGCTCTCTATGATACTGAATTGTGACCACAGATCCCAACTGTCCTACCATGGGTGTCTGGGATATGGTTATAATGTAGGCTGAGGATAGTTAGTACGTAAAAAAAGCATTTTGTCTGGGAGAAGTAAACTGAGGTATGTACCCAGTATTCCGATATAATCTAAGAGGGTATGGACAGGTGCTATCTGAACTCTGTCACATTTGTCAGAAGAATTTAACTCAGGAGACAAGAAAAAGCTGCAAACAGTTAGAGAGGGTTTAACAGGTTTTTCTAGAGACAGCTTCATGTCACCGGGTCTGTTTCTGGGTGCCATGCTTTCCCCAGGTCTTACTAAATGTGTCCCTCAGACTACCACTGGGACATCCAGGAATGACTCCCGGCTATCCTGCTCTCCTTCATTCAATTTCTACAGAGAATACATTCAAAGCAAATATAATTCAGTGAATCCATCTGATTAGGTGCTATCTTCCCTTGAAAAAAAGGACATATGTTAACATCATTAATAAATTACGCCTCACATGTACATAGTAGGTGTTCCGTAACTGTTCTCTGTGCTTATACCTTAAAAAAAATCTGTTTCCTGGAATGTAATAGAGAAAGCAGGCTGTCATCCTCTCTTTCTGCTGGAAACCTCGCATGCGAGTTTGCTAGTGTTGCTTTTTGAAGGCACTATTGCAATATATTTTAAAATCTTAAAAATCTTAAAAATGTTATATGCATTTTCCCCTCATATCCCAAATGGCTCTACTTATAATAATGCTCCAAAAATATGTAAGGTCATCTTATAACATTTTCTTGCATGTCCAAGAAACTTAAAAGATTTATCCAGGGTGAGGCACTGATATGGTTGTAATACAACTGCATCCTCAAGATTAGCTTCCTGGGTTCATGTCCTGGGACTTCCCTAAGCACCCCAGGCACATAAGGCTCATGATCCCGTCTGGCTGAGATTGAGGTGGATCGTGGCATAAAGACCCTGTTAGGAATTCTTCTCTTTCTTTCTCTCTTTCTCAGAAGAAATAACTAATAAATACAATTTAGAGAAAAAACAATCATTCAAAAAGATTTATATATACATAATATATATTTCT